GCTTAGAAAAGTGATACGAATTGTGTTTTGATATTTATTATAAAACTACCTACGAAAGCGCTTTCTAAAGGTCATCTATAACAGCGCTTTTACATCAAAAAGCGCTTTCGTAGCATATCCTATAGCAGCGCTTTTAAAAGCGCTTTCTAAAGGCCAGCTTTAGCAACGCTTTGGAAAAGCGCTTTCTAAGGCTGACCTTTAGCAGCGCTTTTGAAAAGCGCTTTCTTAAGGTACCCTCTGAAAGGCCAGCTTTAGCAGCGCTTCCCAAAAAGCGCTTTCTAAGGGTGACCTTTAGAAGCGCTTTTGAAAAGCGCTTTCTTAAGGCACCCTTTGAAAGCGCTTTTTTTAAGCGATTTTTTTTAAAACCTACAGCAGCGCTTTTTTCCAAAAGCGCTTTCTTTTATGTGCTGCTAAAACTTATTTTTGGCGTAGTGAACATGGTTCTACTGATGTTGATTGTCAAACATTGCTCAACATCATTAATGTTGCTCAAAGATACTATTTACCAAAACCTTCGATACTGACTTAAAAAAAACCTTGGTCATTAATGGGAAAAAAATGAAAACTAAAAACTCACTTTAACACATTGCTTGGCAATAAATGACAGAAAAGTTACATTAGCTTAAAACTCACATTGCTCAACATCAAAAAATGAATGAATAGAAAACTCACATTAACACACCGACCAATGAGACAAATTCAATGGACGAATGAGCGACAATGTGTGTGCAACATGGACAAACGAACGTATCTGATAATGATGTGCGACTTCAACGGCTAGTGGTGGTGGAGAGAGCAGAGCAAGGACAAGAGAGAAAGGGAAACTTAATTAGTTTTTGAAATGAGAAAAGAGAGAAAGAGGGAAACATGCAGAAAAAGAAAGAGGAAGAAGTGTTAGGGTTCAATCACAAAGTTATAATTTTTAACTTAAACTAGGGATAAATTTATACTTTTACCTATATAAAAAAATTGAAGTGGTCGTGGCCCCTTCAATATGAAGTTTCACCCCCTGGTTGCACTGAATTTTCATTTACATTATCCTGTAATTCATTGTTTACGGCCTACTATTAAATTTGTCTAATTAATATAATTCCCATCCCTTAAAATAAAATCAAAACAAAATAATAAAAATTAAAAATAGAGACTAAACAAAAGTAGAACACAACATTGGCACAAAAGCGTCCTAATACAAATAAAAAATAGGTTTAATTATAATTTTAATCCATCTATTTTTTAGTTTTGGTCCTATCATAATAATAATTTATCACCAAAAAATGTGTTCTTCTCCAAAGGGTGTTCTTCCCTAAAAAAAGAACCCTAAACAATCATGAAATCTAATTATGATTTTCTCTCTCTGAATCATAATGAACAAGAAAGGGGTTTCGAACACCTATCACCATCACCATGGCTCTCATTCTCTTCCAACAAAATAATTTCAATTTGGACTCATTGATGTAACTCATTGCATATCATGAATAAGAATTGGCGATGTGTTAACTTTTATGAGTTGGCGCATGTAACTATTTTCCATTATTTATTATTGTTGGGGAATGGGAGTAGCGTGAAATCAAATGGGAAAATTTTTTCTACCATTCAGAGAGATTTGATGTTGTTGTTATTGTGGATTTTGGTTGATTGAACCATTTTTAATAGTGAAGGTTTACTGATTTGTTGAACCAATTTATATGTTATAGGTTTTTTTATTCATAGATTTTTTTAATGAATTTGTGATGAAATGGTGTTCTTACTGGTTATTTTATGAATTTGTGATGAAATCTAATATTGTTAGTGGTTTTTACTATTAATTTGTTGATGTTGTTTTGTTACCGGGTTTTTGATATTATGGATTTATGATGTTGTTGTTGTTATGGTCTCTAGTTTCTAAACTATTTTGAAAAGCTTTTATTCTGCTACCCCCACCTTGACCTGACACTCCCTCAATTGCAGTATTTTTATCATAATAATCTGTGATTTATTTTGTTTTTCAAAAAATGTGTTTTTTTACGAATTTTTGAAATTTTTGTAAATTTTTATTGGATTTTTGAAGAAGTTCATGAGTTTTTATAAGATTTTTGGGGAATCTATGAGTTTTTATTAGATTTTTCTAAAATTATCGGATTTGAACTACCGAATTTTTCAAATACACTATCAGATATTTCAAAATTCTGAGTTTTTACTGAATTTTTCAAAAACATGAGTTTTTATCAGACTTTTCAAAAAGTCTGAGTTTTTACTGGATTTTTCAAAAAACCTAAGAGTTTTTACTAGATTTTTCAAAAAATCTATTAGTTTTTATCGAATTTTTCAAAATATACTATTGGATTTTCCATAAAATTGTGAGTTTTTATTGGATTTTCCAAAATACACTATCGATTTTTTTCAAAAAACTATACATTTTTACCCGATGTTTAAAATACACTACCAAACTTTAAAAAAAACTGAGTTTTTACCCCGATTATTCAAATAGATTATCAATTTTTTTTGAAAAATCCAATAAAATTAATTTGAATATTTTTTACCTATCAAAAATGAACTACCGTATTTTCAAAATATCTGAAAAATTCTAAAGTATATGAAAATTTTCAATTGCACTACATATTTATTTTTTCTTTCACTCTGTTTTAATAAGGGTATTTTGAAAATATGAAAATACATGGGGGTTGCCAGGTCAGATTTTAGGGGTGACAGAATAAATTTTCATGTTTTTAGTTAATGTTAATTATTTTTGAATTTTTATATTAATAAATTATTTTAAAGTGAAAATCCATTTTGATCTTTCATAAAAATTATAAAACTTAAATTAACTCTCACAAAAAAATCAAATTTAATCTATTACAAAATTTAACTGGACCATATTAGTTTTTATGTTAATATTTTTCTCAAATAGATTTTTTTTTCCTACTTTTAAATCATAATTGAACTACCACATTGAATTTTATTTTTTATTTTTCATTTTTCATTTTTTAAATATAAAATTGATTTTTATTTTTAAACAATTTAAATTTGAAAATATCAAATAAGCCAAAATTTGTTCATAGAAAGAATCAAACCAAGACCTTTAAGTCATATTTCATGTCTTTACCACTAGACCAATGTATATTGGTGACTGATAATTCCCATGATTTATAATAATATTAAACAATTCTGAATTTAAAATAAAAGTAAACATAAGTCCTTTCAAGTTAAATGATAGTCACTTTACAACTAAACCAATCATTTTTTGTTTTAATATTTCTAATGATGAATACTTCATAATAAACATTTATTTATTTACTTATTTCAAATAATATACAAATTTAAAAATAAAATTGATAAAATTTAAATCTTATATAATAAATATAATAGAAATAAATTAACTAATATTTAATTAAATTCTATTAAACTAATTTATTATTATTATTTTATTTGACTTAATTAAATAATTTTAAAAATTAATTGATTATTCAATTTTAATTAATTATATATTTTAATAATTAATTTAATTACTATTGAATGAATTATTTATTATTTTAATTTGAATTAATTTAAAATAAATAAATATTTATTTGTGTGTTATTTAATTTATTTTTATTTGATTAATTATGTTTAAGATTTACATTTTATTAATTTTCTTTTAAAATTTGTATATCATTTTTAAATAGGTAAATATTTATTTATGTGTTATTTGAATAAAGTAAATAAATAAATATTTTCTGAATAATTATGTTAAGTATTTATCATTAAAAATATTAACAATAATTAATTTAGTTGTAAAATAAACGTCATTTAATCAATTTTTTATTTTTTATTTTAAATTCTGAATTATTTAAAATTACTATAAATCATTAAAATTATATGTCATCAAAGTATATTTTTTATTTTAAATTCATAATTGTTTAATATTATTATAAATCAAGAGAATTATATATTATCAATATACATTTGCCTAATTATAAAAACATATTATGTAGCTTAAAGATCCTTGAGTTCAATTCCTTCTGGCAATAATTTTTAACTTTTTTTTATTTAAATCTGAATTGTTTAAAAATAAAAAATAAAATTCAACGCGTAAGTTCACTCACTATTTAAAAGTATAAAAAAATCTATTTGAGAAAAATATTAACAAATGGACTAATATATATAATTTGATTAAATTTTTATAAGAGATTAAATCAAATTTTTTTATAAAAATTAATTTGAATTCTTTAATTTTTATGAGAAATCAAAATGATCTTCACTCTTATTTTAATAAATAATATAATTATTATTAATGAAAATGATTTGACTTTAAATTTAAAAATTAGACTCAAATTAGGAGGGATTAAAATCTTGAATTTTTTTAAAAAACAAATTAAATTTTTTTAAATTTTTAAATAAAAGAATCAAAACTGAAGGAAAAAAAAGGATTAAAGTTACAAATTAATCCTAAAAAATATTGGTTGAAGTTTCTATTGTATTGGTGTGAAATGAATATTCTCAAGTCATCCATAAAGGTAACCAAGATGGTCAACCGTTAATGAAAGTGATGTTAAAAATAAAAAGTCATCATGACTCACTTTCTTTTCTTTCTTTATCAAAATAATTCAGGTCAATTAAGTCCAAAACATAATCTACGACTTTTCTGTTGAGCTTTTAATTTTATAGACGTCATTGATATAATTTAAATAATCCATGCATACATCACTTTGTTAAGTGCGCTGACTGAAGAATGAGTAGTGATTATTACTACAGCTAACGACAGTGATTAACCCGTTTCCCATTAAGTAGTCATATAGTTTATTAGGATATTAGACTAATAAGCTTGACTTCTAGAAACAATGTAATAATAGGATTGGCTTCTAGAACCAAAGATCTGGATGACCGACAATGTTTGGGGATGTGAATTCTAAAATCTTAATCATGTGGCCAAGCTTATAGTACATTTCGCATTTCTTTATTTATTTTAAACATAAATTAAGCCATAAAAGTATATAACACACCACTCAGCTCTCTCTCTCTCAAAGCTAGTAGAAAGTGATAATATGAAGAGAGTGGTGAAAATAGAGTCATGGCACAAATCCAAGAATGGGAGTGTCTTCCCTGCAAAGAAACGTTCTGTGAAACAAATGATATGGAATCAATTTGTTGATTTCATAAAGGGTTCAAGTTACAACAAGGTTTCGCCACCTTCTTCTCAGTTGTCAAAGTCTAACAGTATTGTACACCCCTATTCTACGTCATACTGATTCTTCTAGATGCTCCTCTACGATTCTGTTTTTCTCTATAGTTTTCTTTTGATGTTGTTGATTAAATATAGTTAAGGTTGCTTTTGTAGTGGTTCTATAGAGTTTGTGTTTGTCTTATGAGATATTATTTATGAATCATATATATGTTGATCCTTCACTAATGCTTACAGAATGTATTGTTAGATTGTAGTTTGGACTTGGAGTTAATTACTGTTAGATGTTCATGTTTAGTTGGTATTTTCTCTATTTTTAAAATTTACAGCTATGCTATCTTTACAACATTTTCCAGACACCATATCTTACACCCAAAAATTTAACAAAGGATGATGTACTTGCACAAACTTCAAAGCAAGATAAATTATTAAAAAACCAAATTTGTACGTTGTACATATGCAAATACTAGTGTAATAAAATGGTGTGAACTTATCATTTCTCTAAATTATTTTGAAACCAACTTCTTGTCATTTATTTTTTTAAATTCGAATATTTATATTTATTTATTTAAATTTGAATGTTTTCAATTTAATTAATATAATTTTTTATTTTTTAATATTAAATGAAATTTTTTTCTTAAAATGAATTTTTTTAAAAAAAGTTCTCCTCTATCTACCTACTTCTCTCTTGTTATTTATTTTCATTTTCGAAATGAAAATCTTTCTTAAGTTTATGTTTTAATACAAAATTTATTTTAATTTCTATTATGAAGAGAAAATATTTCTACATGATTAAGATATGTATAAATAAAAGACTATTTTTCAAAAGAATATATTTATCAACAAACTCATAATAATAATAATAATAATAATAATAATAATAATAATAATAATAATAATAATAATAATAATAATAATAATAATAATAATAATAATAATAATAATAATAATATCTTATTTTATTTTAGATTGAATAAAGAATATATTAAAAAATATTTTTATTTATGTATCACGTAATATATTTTAATAAAAATTATATGAATTTTACTCCATAAAACAATTTTTTAATTTTATTTAAAATTATTATATATCTTTAATAAATTAATAGTTTTTAAAAATATTAATTTTTTTTACTTGCAACTTAAAGACATAAAAACTATTTTTTTATAGAATAATCATCTGTTTTTAATAAAGTCCAATAATATTAAGAAAAAAAAAAAGAAAAATAAGGAGGAGGAGGATTAGACTAAAGTCAACTTCAAAAATAAATCTAAAATTAGGTAATTTTAACTTGTATTTTTTCTCAAACTACTACAAATTGATATGGACATCTTAGTAAAATAAACATTTCTCACAATGTTTAAATTCTCATTTGCTAACGTGTTCGTGCATATGTTATCTTCTCTATAAATATGAGACAACAATTAGATACATTTCTCCCATCAACATTATCTCATCGATGCCTTAAAGGCCACAAAATAAATGTTGAAAAGAAAAAAGTTAATCCGTTTTCAATCAAAGATGATTTCAAAAGTTGACATGAGCAATCTTTATTTCTCTAATGACTCTTGTAATCTCTGCATATGCACTGCATAAACTTATATTTTTCTTGAAATCGGCCACAAAATTAGCTTCAAAATCTCTAAAAAATACTTACACAAGTTGAGGAAGAAAGAGTGGAGGCAGTGTCTGTATTGAATAGTATAATTATCTTAAAAAATAATATAAATATATTTATAAAATTATTAATATTACTTTGATCTTATTTCTTAAATATTTCATTAAATTTTGAATGAATTTTAAATATTCTCTATAATAATAATAATAATAATAATAATAATAATAATAATAATAATAATTATTATTATTATTATTATTATTATTATTACTATTATTATTATTATTATTATTATTATCAAACATTCTCTGATTGATATTTTTATAAAAAATTTGTATAAAAATAACTAAATAAAACTTTCGTAAAAATACACATTTAATGTTATACATGTCATGATCAAATTGAAATTACTTTTTTATAATACATATTGAAATAATTTTTTTTAAAATAAACCCTTTAATATAAATTCCTTTAAAAAATAAATCCTTTTAAATATAAATTCCTTTGATAGCACAAGAATTGGTTAAATTACAATTTTTCTCTCTTTATTTTACCCCATTCACAAAATCAATCCTTTTAATATATTTTTGGCAAAAATATATCTGGATTCTTTAAGTTATTGTTGTGGGGAGATTATTAAGAGCATTGATGCATAGTGTAGGAACAAACATCTTTGTGAGAGGCACACCACTTCTCCACCTAAAATCTTAAGGTGATAGGTGAGTGGGTTCTCCCACTTATATATGCTTAAGTCTCCACATTCCTATCCAATGTGAGACTATTTCCCCACTTACTCACACTTGTTATATTATTCCAACACTCCCCCTCAAGTGTGAGTCCACAATGCTTCCCCACTTGTACCGCACCACTTCTTGGGCGAATTTCGATACAAGTTCCTTTCGGTCCCTTTCTCGAACCAAAGGCTCATGATACCATGTTGGGGGGAGATTATTAGGAGCATTGATGCATAGTGTAGGAACAAGCACCTTTGAGAGAGATACACCACTTCTCCACCTAAAACCTTAAGGTGATAGGTGAGTGGGTTCTCCCACTTATATATGCTTAAGTCTCCATATTCCTATCCAATGTGGGACTATTTCCCCACTTACTCACACTGGTTATATTATTCCAACACTCCCCTTTGTTGGGGGGAGATTATTATGAGCATTGATGCATAATGTAGGAATAAGCACCTTTGAGAGAGACACATCACTTCTCCACCTAAAACCTTAAGGTGATAGGTGAGTGAGTTCTCCCACTTATATATGCTTAAGTCTCCATATTCCTATCCAATGTGGGACTATTTCCCCACTTACTCACACTTGCTATATTATTCCAACACTTTCCCTCAAGTGTGAGTGTGAGTCCACAATGCTCCCCCACTTGTACCGCACAACTTCTTGGGCGAATTTTGATACAAGTTTCTTCTGGTCCCTTTCTCAAACCAAAGGCTCATGATACCATGTTGGAGGGAGATTATTAGGAGCATTGACGCATAGTGTAGGAAGAAGCACCTTTGTGAGAGACACACCACTTATCTACCTAAAACTTAAGGTTTTAGGTGGACAAGTGGTGTGTCTCTCTCAAAAGGTGTTTGTTCCTACACTATACATCAATGCTCCTAATAATCTCCCCCCAACTTGGTATCTAGAGCTTCCGGTTATTGTTCTTGATCAAGTTTTCAAGAATTTCACGTCAGAGATCGTTTTTCTAGGGCAAGTAAATCAACCGCTGCGAAGATGGCTAGTGATATGGGCATTCCAAATTCTCTTCCAATGCTTGATGGTAAAAATTGGATCCGATGGAAAAAATAGATGCAATCCTTATTTGGCTTCCATGAAACCCTAGAAGTGGTTACTGACGGTGTTCCAGCATTGGTTACAAATGCAACCGACGAACATAAAAAAGCCCACAACAAAGTCAAGAAAAAAGATTGCAAGGCTGCTTATTGCATTCAAACGGTTGTCGATGCTGCTAACTTCGACAGAATCTCTCATGCTGAAACAGCGAATGAGGCATGGGATATTCTGGTAAAGTATTTTGAAGGAGGTGAGAAAGTCAAGGTTGTCAAATTACAAACCTTGCATCGACAATATGAGTTGTTATCGATGGGAGAAGATGAAAAAGTTGCAGAATATGTGTCGAAGGTTCAGAAACTCGTCCATCTCATGAAGGGTTGTGGTGAAACCATTACTGATAAGATAATAGTTGAGAAGGTAATGAGAACGTTGACCTCTCACTTTGATCACATTATTGTAGCTATTCAAGAATCCAACAATCTTGAAACCACTAAAGTGGAAGATTTGGTTGGTTCGTTGGAGGCGCATGAGATGAGGATTGTCGAAAGGAAAGGAGTTCAGGACTCGATACAGGCACTGCAAGCTTAATCATGGAAAAAAGATTGTGGTTCCAACAAATTCAAAGGCAAGTTCGACAAGACTCATGGCAAGAAGTCCTGGTCGAATTCCCATAAGAATAAGGTCGAAGATAGATATTCTGAATCCTCAAAAAGGAGAGGAGGAAACTATCGAAAGGACAAAGAAGATAAGAAAGGTATGCAGTGTTATAACTGTGAAAAGTGGGGACACTTGGCCAAGAATTGTTGGTATAAAAAAGAAAAGAGACCGAAAGGCAAGGACGAAGGAGCGAACCTTGCACGCCAAGATTCAGATGATTCTGAAGGTGGTATGATGGTTATGGTTGCAGTTGCAGATAACCATGTTGAATCTAATATCTGGTTTCTCGACTCAGGTTGCTCGAACCACATGACTGGTCGAAAGGAGTGGTTGGCAGACTTTGACGAGTCGAAGAAGAGAAAGGTAAAACTTGCTGATAATAGTTCATTGCAAGCAGAAGGTACTAGCAACATAGTCTTTCAAATGAGTAATGGAGGGAAAGCTATGATCAAAGATGTGCTCTATGTACCTGGAATGAAATGCAACTTGTTAAGTGTTGGACAACTAGTTGAAAAAGGTTTCTCAGTTGTCATGAAAGATGGAGTTTTGAAATTGTTCGACACTAAGAACAATTTGGTTTTACAATCTCCATTGTCGAAGAACATGACATTTAAGACTATGATCAGTTCGACAGAAGTTCAATGTTTGAAAACTGTTTTCGACCACAAGGATAGTTGGTTGTGGCATTTGAGGTTTGGACATTTGAATTTTTGATCACTTAATCAACCGATTACTCAAGACATGGTTATTGGTATTCCAAGTCTTGAGATGCCTAAAAAACTTTGTGAAGGTTGTTTAGTGGGAAAGCAATCTAGAAATTTTTTCATTTAGACTATGTCAATGAGATCATCTTGCATTCTCGAAGTGGTGCATTCAGATGTATGTGGTCCATTTGAAGAACATGCAATTGGTGGAAACATGTATTTTGTTTCCTTTGTCGACGAGTTTAGTCGAAAGCTGTGGATCTATGTGATCAAACAAAAGGACGAAGTA